ATGCAGATGATTTTTTTCAAGCTGTGATATCAAACTGCCCAGCATCTTCTCTCTCTCTCTCTCTTTTCCCTCTCGATCTCCCTCTGCCTCTTTTCCCTTCCAACTTTCCTACTGTCAAGACGTACTCCAGTTTTCTCCCTCTCATGACATGACCTAAGAATGTAGATTGTCTTCGACTGTCAATCACTATATGCTGTAGGACATACAAAGAAGTAGAACTGAGCACTTATGGACTGAATGGTTCAATATGTTGTCAGGACGATCTGTTGATTAAGTAGTTTACTAAGCAACAAGCAAGGTAACTAACAAAAAGAATTTGAATGGTTTAGCACCTTTTGAGAACAAACTCTTCGGAGATGTCAAAAAGCTTAATTTGTCTGATGCTTTCATTAAATATATTCAGACTCTGAATGTGTATGAAGCAGAAGAAGAAGAGGAAGAAAAAGAAAATAGTTAAAATGAAATTGAAACACCGGTAGCAATGAATAAGCATTCACTCTTTCTAAAAACGAGTTTTGAAAACATATTTCAGTGTGTATCTTTCACTGCTGAAAACACATACAAGCTTGATTACATGGAGATAGGCATGGCCTTGATGTTGGTGATATGTTATTTTTTCTATGTATTGAACCACATCCTGTGGTTCTATGAGTATGTAAACACTTTTATAGCACAAAAACTGGTTATAGTTTTATTAGCATTTAATACTATTATCGGCAAGTTTCATTTGCTATTATTAAAGGTCAGTTAGCATTTAATGCTGGGAGCCAATGAGGTGTAGCTGCTAGAGGCCCGCCTGCCAGTCTGAAGATGTTGGGTTCAAATCCTCATTGAGTTGGATTTTTCTTTAAAAAATGACCTTTTCTCCCAGGTCGACCCAGCTTAAAATGGGAACTAGGTAAATTCCTGGGAAGTAAAGGTGGGTGCATAATGTTGACAACATCACCCATCGAAACCAACAACTCTTCACTCTAACAGTTGTCAGTACCTTTAGTTGTAATATTATTACTAATCCTCTACTGCGACAGTTTTGGGTAACTCTTCTGCACAGATGTAGATTATTCTTCCAATAATTTCCAGACAGATTTTTATGCCTCAATGAACATTCAGTATTCTTGCAGGTAACTATACTGTACATCTCATAAGATGTAAATATTTGCATTGAAAATTATGTTGATGTACGTCTTTGTCTTAAAAAAATCAAAGTGATTGCTTTAGGACGAAGGAAGGTAAACGTTTGTATACATAAGCAGTCTGATCACACCATCAGCTATACAAAATATTATTTTACATAGGATTATATACATACAAATACTGTCCTACAAATGTGTACACTCAAAACTCTATATTACAAACAACAGACATACTTCTTTCGCCTTTAATCTTCTATTGGTGAGCAAGCAGTCAATCAACTCACACTAAGTTTTTTGAAGACTTTGAATGATAGGCAGGACTGTATTTTAACATTTTGGCCCATAGATGACAGTAATCTGGCAATGACGTCAATTAAAATTCTCAGAGAAGCCACTAAACCATTTCTGCTGATATGGCCAGTTCATGACAAGCCGAGTTAATGGCACTGGTGCTGTTTGCACCTGCTCAGTGTTTGGGAGCCTAGATATGAGTATATTTACTAAAATAGCATTTGGGTGGTTTTACTGTTGGGACAAAAAAAATTGCTTTTTAGCTATTCATCATCATCATTCCATAACACTACGTGTCATTGGGTCACCAGTTTCTGTTGACTGTCTGATCAGCTCTCTCCACCTTTGGTGGTCAGTTGTGATGGACTTTATGGTTGCATGTCTGAGGCCTGTCCAGTCAGGTTCTGTAACCAGGTCTTTCTTGGTCTGCCTCATCTCCTCTTTCCCTCTACTAACCCCTGCAGTATTGTTTTTGAGAGGCTGTTAGATCTTATTACATGTCCACACCATTGCATATTTTCGCCTGTTCACTGTAGTTAAAAGAGATTCATAGTTGCCAATGTGCTGTATAATTTTATGGCGAACTTGCTCGTTTGTAATGTGGTCTCTGTATGATATGCCAAGAATTTTTCTGAAACATCGCATTTCTAATGCTTGTATTCATTTTTAGCTATTATGACATCATGATGTCAAAATTCCCCTTTAGTCTATTAACAAATATGAATTTGGCATCATATGCCCACATTTTGCTCATGTGTAAAACATGTCCTTTACATTTGTGTACTTTTTTAAATACAATGCAACCAGCCCTCTCCAAGAGTAAATAACGAAGACTGTTTTAAAAATTTTTTCTCAACCAATTATTTTCAACCATAAGTGAGACTATTAGCATTCTTGTCTTCAGTTTGTAACACTTATTACTTCATGTTGAATTTAAGCCTAGCTACTGGACTTCCTAGCATTTTGAATTTGTCAACCCTAATCAAGTTGAGTTGATTCCTCTCCTTCTTCACCAGCTGTGAAACTTTGAGGGAAAGTTCTGGTTTGTGTGTCCACTTCTGGACTTTGGTCTTGTTCCAGAACTTTATTTTTTGCGTGCATATCAGTTTTACAGATCTGGCTTCTTTGTATGAGACTGCTGATTCCTCCCCTGTCAAGCAGGTGCACTCCAGCTTTGAATGAAAGATCCCTAATTAGGTGACATTCTTTTCAGGGAAGCAGTGAGACTATGACTTCTGCTCTTCAGAACTTAAAACAGCAATCAAACTTTGAGTCCTAATGAGCTAAAATAAAAGTGTAGAGAAGACCAACTTATACAATGTAATAGAAAGAGGGCTTAGAAAGAGGAACTTCACACACATGCATGCTTGCGCACAAGCACACACATATATATATGAAAAACCCGCCCACCCACCCACCCTTCATTGGGGTAACTGACTGAAGTAAGAAGAGAAAGAAGTAGCTTGGAAGCTCAGAGGAAAGAATATCAGTGTAACAACTGGGATACAGTAGTTTACATTACAGTAGAATGGAACAGGAGATATTAAGCAATGCACATTTGTATATACAATGAACTGAGTCCCCTGTGCATGAGTTCCAGGACCCCATTTTAAGGGAACGACAGACAGACCTGCTGTCCCTTAACTCCTTCAGTCCCAAGGATCGCATCATACATTCATAGGTACCTAGCTAGAAGCCCAATGAACACAAGATGTGCCAATTATACATTTTACTGTACTACCCCTTGGGCCTCTGAGGCTTAACCCACTGGGACTGAAAGAGTTAACAAGCACAAAATAAAAATCAACAAATTAAGAGTTTGCTGACAGTGAATGTGCTGGGCCTAGATGTAACCAGAGCATAGCCCCTTTTAAGGGCTGGCACAAAAGAAGAAGACAATGCTTAAGAGTAATCAATAAATGTACTGTCAGTTGCCCGGTACTGTCAGTTGCCCGGGTCAAGAAATAAGAGAACTCAATGTGTTTCGGCCACACACTGAGTACCTCCTTTCTACCCTGATATACAATGTGTTAAAGTAATACGATGAGGCTTCAAATGAAAACCTCAAAAGTGTGAGAGAAATTAAAATAATCATGACACTGTCTTGTCATCTGTCATTATTGTTGTTAAGGTTGTCCAGAGTGTTAAGCATGTGACAACATGGGTTTCAAAATGGCGTGACTTCTGTGGCAGTGTGTTTACGACCGGATGAGACAAGGCACAGCCATTGTGAAACTTGCTACTCCACTCATACTCTTGCTGGACTGACTATCCATCAACATCCTGGACTTTTACCGATTAAAATACTGATAACAGAACCCTGCTCCTCTTTGGTGCATGTCAAAAGTGGGGTGGCCATATTTAACTCTTTCAGGCCCATGAATTTTGACAGGCTTGGCTCACATTAATTTCCTTTTACAAAAATGGTGTTTAAAAAAAAAGGCATTTGAGAAGGTAATATATTTCTAATCCCGATATGATGATATGCTTTTATTTTATATTGTTATGGTTAGTAGGAACATTTCACTTACCATGGTTTTGCAGCCACAAGAGCAGAGTATATCTAAATTTTAGAAAAAAAAACTGTAAAGTCTGTTCAGTTTCCTAATAGATTCAAAATGTATAATACGTTTTTGGGTTAGTTTGTAACTCAGTGGCTCCAGGTTCTCATAGAGTGTTGAACAAAATTTCAAAGAAACAAAAAAATGGCAGAAAATTGGATCTATAGTCCTATATACACAAAATATTCAGTTTATAGTTATATACAGACTGTAGCTGCAATGATTTCAATACAGCTTAGCCATAGTATGAGTATGGCACTGTCTGAAACAGTCCTTTTGATGCAAATGTGGGTGATATCACATCCTTCGTAAATGAGATGGGTCCTCCTGGGTTTACCTCATCAGAATGAACAGCTGACCGCTAAGCTGCCACTGGTGTAAATTTACCATCCAAATCACTTTCCAAAAAAATTTAAATGTTTCATTATTAGAAAACATCTGACTGAAATAATTTCAGAGCTTCAGCTAAAGAAAGGCGCATTATTCAGCCTGTGCTTGTGTTCAGAACATTGGTAACCATGGCTACTTAAACAAGAAATAGAAAAATGCAAAAATCATGCTAATGAATCAGATGTTAGCGCCCACGTGTGTGGGATCATACATTTGTTTACAAACAAAAACGTTAGAGTAACCTTCCCTGAACCCTTTAATGGTAGTTCTGAATATTAGAAATGAATATGGAGCCGTTTGCGAGTCAATTTGTATGGGACACACGATCAATGTTGACTGTGTTGTTTGGTCAAATTGAAACTTCTCAGTCAAGACATACAGCGCTGCTCGGGCTTCAAAGAGTTAAAGTGTCATTATGATGTCACAGTATTCATCTGCACCGGGATATAACATGCTTAACACTCCTGACATCCCTAACAACCAACAATACTGACAGGTTACAAACAATGGCATGGTTTTTGTAATTTCTACAACACTTTTAAGATTTACATTTGAAGCTCCTTCGTATTTCTGTGATAGCAGCCAAATCAACAATTTTTAATATAAGGTGAAGAAAAAAATGATTTCATATGTGATCAAATTCCACAAACTTCAGATCCGCTACCAGAGATATATGATCCGAGGGATAGGAATAGGACGGCAAAAATCCCGGACCTATTTCTTCAGGTGTGGGTAACTTAAGCAGCTGGACAACCTGGAACTGTTTACCGGAGACAAACAGATAGTCAATGGTGTGACAGACTTCTGTGTTGGCTTGCCCTTTCCTTCCGGCACGAACCTTCCATGTGGTGTAAACCGGTTCAGCTCCGTCACTTGACAGAAGTGTGTATGTACTTTTGAGTTGTAGATTACTGGCTTTTAGCACGCTGACTGCTTTGGATTGTGGATCGGCATTGAAATCTCCGCACAGAATTAGTGGAATCTCTGCTGCTGTCTGCCTCAAGTACTTCTCCAAGAACTTTCCTTGCTGGTGTCTGAGCTCATCATAGCCAAGCTTAGATTTCAAATGAGTGGCAACGCAAAGAAAATCTTTGTCTTTCATGTTCCCAGCTAACCCTCTGAACGTGCACATCAATGCCACCTGATTTGTCTCCCGGTTTTTATCGTCATGAAGTATCACACTGTCTTGTTTCAGAAGTCTAACCTTTGATTCAGACCAAAAAATAGCACAACCGTCAGGTCCAAAATTGTTGGCCTGGTACAAGCAGGGAGAGTCCGGCTTTGGGCAGAAACAGCCTTTAAAACCCAGCTTGCTGAGATAACCTTCGATGAATGAAAAATTGTCAACTTCCTCTAGACAATAAATGTCGGCTGAATAGGACAGCAGTTCTTCAATGATACGAAACTGTCGGAATTGCCAGTCAAGGGCATCGGATGGACACAGAACAAATCCATCACTTGACTGACAGAGACCTAAGAAAGAGAAATGCTTAGTTTGTCAAATCTTATGAAAAAATTTTAATACTTCAAATACCGCATTACCCAGCTAAGATGAGCTGAGAACTGGACATTCCCACAACTGTTCCGTACCCATCTTCAGCAGCCACTGCAGAGTGCCAATACTGATGGTATAATGATGCATAGATAATAAATTACAGTGACATTAGTGCCAATACTGATGGTATAATGATGCAGTGATACAAAATTACAGTGACATTAGTGCCAATAATGATGGTATAATGATGCAGTGATACAAAATCACAGTGCCACTAGTGCCAATAATGATGGTATAATGATGCAGTGATACTAAATTACAGTGACATTAGTGCCAATAATGATGCCTATAATGATGCAGTGATACTAAATCACAGTGCCACTAGTGCCAATACTAATGGTATAATGATGCAGTGATACTAAATTACAGTGCCACAAGTGCCAATAATGATGGTATAATGATGCAGTGATACAAAATTACAGTGCCAATAATGATGGTATAATGATTCAGTGATACTAAATTACAGTGCCACAAGTGCCAATACTGATGGTATAATGATGCAGTGATACTAAATTACAGTGCCACAAGTGCCAATAATGATGGTATAATGATGCAGTGATACTAAATTACAGTGCCACTAGTGCCAATACTGATGGTATAATGATGCAGTGATACAAAATCACAGTGCCACTAGTGCCAATACTGATGGTATAATGATGCAGTGATACAAAATCACAGTGACATTAGTGCCAATAATGATGGTATAATGATGCAGTGATACAAAATCACAGTGACATTAGTGCCAATAATGATGGTATAATGATGCAGTGATACAAAATCACAGTGACATTAGTGCCAATAATGATGGTATAATGATGCAGTGATACAAAATTACAGTGACATTATTGCCAATACTGATGGTATAATGATGCAGTGATACAAAATCACAGTGACATTAGTGCCAATAATGATGGTATAATGATGCAGTGATACAAAATTACAGTGCCACAAGTGCCAATACTGATGGTTTAATGATGCAGTGATACTAAATTACAGTGACATTAGTGCCAATAATGATGGTATAATGATGCAGTGATACTAAATTACAGTGACATTAGTGCCAATAATGATGGTATAATGATGCAGTGATACAAAATTACAGTGACATTAGTGCCAATAATGATGGTATAATGATGCAGTGATACTAAATTACAGTGACATTAGTGCCAATAATGATGCCTATAATTACTTATTGTCAGCTGACAGGGTGGTGATACAATTTTGTCAGATCACAGATTGTTGCTTTTTTGGATTACTCCCTTCGCTTCATAGATGATATTTGTGTATGTCTTGGCAACATAATGTGCCAACCACCCTCATAAGAGTGAAACACAGAAGAAGAAGTATATGGTTTATGTAACTTAAGTAACATTTTTCTTTGCTACTGCAAGCAGCTCAACCCACATCCTCAGTATCTTATTCCCTATGTGAAAGGAAATCAGTTTGGTCATTCTGATTCCTTTCTACTTGCTCCATACGGATAAAGATCCCTTTATCAGAAAATCTCTTTCCAACCCAGTTAGCTAATTATTTCTTGTTTTATCTTTTAATCTAGTTAAAAGTTATCTTTTGAAACTTATGTTATTTTAATCGGATGAGGATGAGGGAGCCAACTCCATGCCCAAATCCATCCTTAGTTATCTCTTACAACTTGCCCGGGTGCAGTGGTACTATTCTTTGTCTCTTCAAAGGACCCTGTTAACACACAGCCAAGCCACACAATACATTTATACAAAGCGAGAGCATACACCTGAACATGGAAATGCCAAATGGCAGTGGGAGACCTAAAAGGATATGGACTAAAGAAACATTACAACATATCAGACAGCCTGAGATATTACAACATATCAGACAGCCTGAGACATTAAAACATATCAGACAGCCTGAGACATTACAACATATCAGACAGCCTGAGACATTACAACATATCAGACAGCCTGAGACATTACAACATATCAGACAGCCTGAGACATTACAACATATCAGACAGCCTGAGACATTACAACATATCAGACAGCCTGAGACATTACAAAATATCAGACTAGCCTGAGACATTGCAACATATCAGACAGCCTGAGACATTACAACATATCAGACAAGGGAAACTGTTCTGGCTCAGCTTCCAATCATCTGTTAAACTGACATTTAGTGATGCAAGGCAAACGACCCCCCCCCCCCCCCCCCCCCCCCCCCCCCCACCCCCCCCCCCCCCCCCCCCCCAAAAATGTAATATCATTAAAGTTAATTCTGTGCCGTTTCCACAACAAAAATTGGCTTTGGTGTACTCATTTCTTCTTTGGGAATATAACACAGTGAGGCTCCAATCTCTACTATGATGCGACTCTTGTACTACTGCACAAAAACCACAAAAGCATTAAAAAAAAAAAAAAAAAAAGCAACTATCCACTGCAAAAATCAAACCGTAATACTCATGATAATAAAATAAGATATTCTTCTTCTTGTGTTGGCTTTCTGATTTACAACGACAGACGAGTTCTTGTAATAAACCTGACTGTTTTTAGGAGTCCCCTGTTAGTTCCATACAACTTTGAGAACAGTCTAATCATATAGCTGGGTGTTGCGTAGCACTGGTTTTTGATCCGCCTTCTGGTCTAGTATTTCCGACGTCAGGATCTCTTGAAAGAGAGAGTGGGCTCATCCTTTTGTGATTACCTTATCTGTTATCGCATCCAGTTTCCCCCTGGCGGCTGAGACCCAAACCTTCCACTGGATTACTGGGAAGAACAGGGTCCACAATGTGAAGGTGAGGTAGGCTTGAGCAAGAAAGGATAACAGACATTAAGAGTCTTGTCTTGTGGATTACTGTTCCATTAGGACCCCTAATAAGACACGAAACTAAAGCTGTGTGCAAATTAAAGGTTCTTTATTAATATCTGACCCCAGATGACGTCACAGGACAGTCCAACATTTTAGAGGGTGGTAAGACCGGGTTTCCTGGCTTTCTGATGCTTTTAACGACACCCAAAACATCTAGAACTGGCCCTAACCCCAACCCACTACGTCCCACGAGAGAGTGCAGCCTAGGTCCCACGAATGTCTGCCGACTAGGTCCCATGACTGCGTGCAGCCTATCTACCACCCCCTGAAATATTAGACTGTCCCGTGACCTGTAGATTTTCCTTGTGTGGGATAGGATATTAATAAAGTACCAGTTGTTCTCTTTAAACTTTCAGACTGAAACTGTGTCTATGCTGACATGATCCCACTCACCTTGAGCTAAAAGATTCCACTGCATCACTCGCAAGTAACCATTATTCTGTCTTCTGTCTGCTCCGTTAACATCCACCATACCGCCAGCCTCACCAAGTTTCACAAACTCTCGTATCAGAAGAGGAGTACGATTGATTTTCCTGCTTTTTTCTTGCACACTGAGAAGCATTTCAGAGCTTGTCGCTGCTTCAGACATAGTCAGATTTTGCAAACTGTAGGATATTTAAAATGTATATTGACTGGTTCCTGACAACTGGAAAGATCAGTGGAAAAAGGGGGTAGAGGCAGATCAAGAGAGATGATGCTGGATGGGCTGAAACGATGGTATGGAGGGATATCATCAAGGAAGCTGTTCCAGACAACCAAGGATCGCCATCTGTGGAAATGCATGAGCGCCTATGCCAGTTGGCAGGGCATATGATGATGATGATATTAAAACTTATTTACACAAACAGTTCATGACATACTGATGAAGGAATACAATCATATAGATTTATGAAACTCAAAAATTCTGAACACTTCCATCTTTACAAATCACATTTTATAATGTGCTATTGGGAGGCACGGAACCGCAGTGAATCTATCACAATAAGAGCATGGCATACCAAGATCTTTTTTTGCCATACGTATTTGACATCTTACTTCTCAGACACTCAGTTCTTGTCTGCAGTCCATTTCTCCTTTGTCCTATTCTTTTTTTTCTGCCTCTCTATCCCCCAATGTATAGACTCTCAACCAAATCCCGTCAAGTCGTTTTATCCTTCGCTATTACATCTAGCTCTCCCTATGTCCTCCCCATCTTTCTAACTTCATTCTTCAGCTCTCTTATTCATGTGTTTTTTGGCCTTCCTTTATTCCTATGCCCCTGTGGGTTCCAATGCAAAGACATTCTAGTTATGCTGTTCTCTGGTTTTCTCAATGTGTGTCCTATCCAACGACAGCGTCTTTTCCTTACCTCTGGAGCCTGTTTAATTCTCTCCCAAAGCTCTACATTAGTTATTCTATTATACCATTTAATATTCTCTATTCTGCGCAGGCTCCAGTTAATGAATGTCTGTAATTTATTAGTAATTGTCTTAGTTGTTCTCCGTGTTTCCGCCCCATACAAAAGTACAGATTTGACATTAGAATTAAAAATGTAAAGTTTATTATTTCTTTTAATTTCTTATGACCTCCACAAATTCCCTAGTGCTATGAAAGCTTCTCTTGCCTTTTGTATTCTTATTTTAATATCTCTATCAGTTCCCCCATCTTTATCTACATTACTGCCTAAATAGGTGTACGACTCCACATCTTGGAGTGGGGTGCCATTAAGACAAAGCACATGACTATTTTTCTGATTTATTCTCATTATCTTTGTCTTTCCTTTATGGATTTTCAGACCTAGCTGCTGTGATCTCACATCTAGTATATTTAATTTATCTTGCATCTCATTCCGAGAATGGGACAGACGAGAAATATCATTAGCAAAGTTCAGATCATCAAGCTGTTTTGTCCTTTTACCTTCCTAATTTCCACCTTCCATGCTATGTGACCCATGCCACCATGTCCCCAGGAAAACCCATCAACACCTATATCATTCTTGTCCTGCTTGCAGAAATATTTAAATCGTAGCAATGATGTCCTAAGAAAGCCTTCCCTACCCTACCCCATCCTCTGAGTGTCCTAGCCATCTGAGCCTTCAGTGACTTAGCATAGAGAAGACTATTTATTGTGATACCTGCTCTTTTCAATACCTAAATGTTTCTAATCTTGTTTTGCAACTCACTGCCAAGTTTTCTTAGGCACTGCATGTGAAAGCTATATCTTATGGAGAAAGCTGATCAAGTTTCACTAACATACAGGATAGTGTTGAGGACACAAGCTTGATAAATAAGGATTTCTCTTTGAACTGTGAGCTTTCTGTTCGGCCAATCTCTTTTTGTTAATCTGCTCACTGGTATTGATGTCTTACCTATCCTGATGATTTCTATTGTTCAGTGATTGCTACTGACTGAGAATCCCAGGTATGTGAAGCTGTCAACTGCCTAAAACTCTTCAAAGTCAATGAGGACTGCAGGGCAATCCCTAGCACCTGGCACCATAATCGCACAATCACAGGCAGCAGCAAATGGAGACTCTTCATCTGAGAGGGTTGTAACTGCAGCATCATCCTCAAAGAACAACTTTCTCATGAGCCCTTTCTTCACTCCTTGAATCGCAGGGGTTTTTAGCATCACTCTTTGAAACTCATGGGGCTTAGAATCACTCTCTGAGTCTCAGTGGGTTTAGCATCACTCTTTAAGTCACAGGGGGTTTAGCATCACTCTTTGAGTCTCAGGGGGTTTAGCATCAATCTTTGTCCCAGCTGGTTTAGCATCACTCTTTGAGTCTCAGAGGGTTTAGCATCACTCTTTGAGTCTCAGAGGGTTTAGCATCACTCTTTGAGTCTCAGGGGGTTTAGCATCAGAGCGCCAAGGAGTGGTAATGCAATAAGGGAATGTCACAAGTATAACACATTAAAACAGACCATACTAATTCAACTGTTGTGCAACACACACATATTATACATAAAAATGTCTAGGGAGTGTTGAGGAAAAATAATAGAATACTGCTATAAAAATAAATTGTGTTAATATTTAAATATTAGTAAATAAACAGACGGTATGTACATGGCACTCACGGAAAACATATAATATAGCCAAAATGAGTCACAAATAAACAGGAACTACTTTATAATATATAAATTCAAAATAAACACAATCTGTCCAATAGAACTCGTTCCAGATAAAGTTTTAAGAACATCTAAAGGAGCACCATTTTTGGTAAAGATAAATTTGAGTGGGGTAATATTATTAATATTACTGAAATATTAAATATTGATATTGTGTAAAATGATGGGTTGGGGGAGCAGAGTGGAATGCTTCACTGCGGAGGACACGAGTGAGGAGTATTGTCTGGATTTTGTCACCGGGTCACTCCAGTGTGTTGGGAAATGAACAGGCGGACAGACTGGCTGGCTCTGCGCAACTTGGTGGAATACTGATACATGATAGGGCAGATGTGGTTAGTGCCTTGTGGGAAAGCGTGTACAATTTGGAGGAGCAGATGGATCACCAGTCTGGTGAGATTGATGCAGTTGGGGGTGACGAGAGGTTCTGGCAGATGCTCAAGGCTCAGAGGAAAGGCAAGACGGACGTTTAATCAGAAAGCTACTGGCACCATTAGTATCGGAACTCTTCACTGGCTGCTGAAGATGGGGACAGAGCGCTTATGGGAATGCCCCGAGTGCTGTGATGTCGGTTCTTGAATCAAAAATCAAATCAATCATGGGTTGGGGGAAGAAGGGGTGTTACTGTTACTGTTATTTCCTGAAATCGTTTAATAATACAGTTACAGCGGTAAACAGATAGGTACAAACTCATCTACGTCTATAGCAATACATACACACACAAACAAACACGACAAGACTTGTGACTCACAAGCTTTGAGGCGAGTACTTAAAACACTTCAAATAAATTAAGATCTCCTTCAATGTACTTAAATTGATTACGGTATTCTTCACTTTTGATACTAATGATACGATCCTCATGCCCGGCAAGCAGCCTATAGTATTAATTTATGGTGTTCCCCTGTTACAAACATCAATTTCAGTGACAGTCTCTAAAGCCCTGCTGGCTGTTGACTAGAAGTGATGTGACAGGGATGACACTCTCGATAATGTAGTTTATGTTGACAAAAGTGACAAGGATTCGTGTCTCCTACACACTTCTGCTGGAGGTTCTCCTAGTATCCTTCACCTTCGGGCTATCTGTACGGACGACGGTTTTTGTTCTCGCGTCAACTCCGTGTCAATGTCTCATACCTGGCGGCTGGGAGATAATGTCCCTTCATTCCCTATAGGCCTATGGGTTCCGGGACCCCATTGTGGGGAAAACAAGAATAGACCCACTCACTGCCTAACCAGCAAGCATTTAGTAAAAGTCGACTAATTGGGAGCCTCCGTCGAAGTCGTACAACTACTTGAGAGACAAGAAACCAACAATCTGCATACAATTAGGTCAGATCTGTTAAACTGATGTGCACGCAACACTCAGGTTGTGGAACCAGACTAAAGTCCAGAGGTGGACAAATAACTAGAACTTTCTGCCGGAGTTTACAGCCAGTGAACGCAAAGAAGAAGAAAAAGAAGATGTCCCTTTGTTTCCATGTTTGTTACTCAAACACAGCCATAACTTTTGAGTGAGTGACGTCCAACACCACCAATACCGCACAACCAATGATAAACACCCGGTGATACAAAGTGCTACCATCCAGGTGAAAATCACCCGGACACAAGTCCCAGAAAGCCCGTTCAACCGTTAGGCTTTTTCTTCTCCAAATGTGAAAATAAATGGAAGCAGTTCATGGATGAAATTTAGAAAATTGTGTGGGGGGGGGGGGGGGAATGCTAGAACAATTGGTACGTTCTGGAAGCTCCTTAGGCAGATGAGTAGAAACGTAAAGTCAATGTGTGGGTCCTTTGTGTCTGATATCAGATATATCGTATAAGATAGTAAATTAAATTTTTTATCTCCAGAATTTCAGTTTTGGTTCCGGGCCTCATTGTGGGGATAAGAAGAAAAGACCCACTGGCTCCCCCAACAAACATGTCGACTAATTAGGGGCATCCTTCGATGTCCGAGTGAATATGCCTGTGAGGCAAGGAACAAACAGTCTGCACACAAATAAGTCAGATCTGTCAAACGGATGTTCACGCAGCATTCAGGTTTCGGAACAAAACTTAAGTCCGGAGTTGGACCAGTAACAGAGTTTTCCGCCGGCGTTTACAGCCGGTGTATGCGAAGAAGAAAAGGAGTTGAGTTAAGAATTGACATCACGGCACTCGGGGCATTCCCATATGCGCTCCGACCCCATCCTTAACAGCCAATACTAATGGTGCCAGTCGTAGTCTGATTGTATGTCCGTCTTGCCTTTCGTCTGAGCGTAGTGTACCTCTGGTCACACCCAGGTGCATCATTCTCTCCAGTCCATAATCTAGTTTCTCTTCTGACTTCGTTACTTGTTCCCAAAGGGCTCTGACCACATCTGCCATGTCATGTATCAATTCAGCACCCAGCAGTTTGTCTGCTTGTTCACTCCCTACCATGCCGGCATGGCCTGGAGAAAATATCCAAAGTATGCCCATCTCCAGTGAATTTGCAAGTGAAGCTTGCC